TGCAGTGCTCAGTATGACATTACCTGTGTGATATGGCTATAGCCAAGTGATCAGACTCAGGTTTCAGAGGTATCTTTATGAGAATTTAGCACATGTAAGTGTGGGAGAGAGAGAGCAATTTAAATATAGTGTTATTTTTTCCCAGTTATAGATTATTAATGCACACATATTTATATGGTACTTCTTACAAAAGGCCCAAGTGTTTTGTGAACCACTGTCATAAACTGAATTTTGGGTGGAGGACAGTAGACAGTTAACATGGAATAACAGCCTTTTTGTGCTTGTTTGCTTCTCTTCTTATCAATCCTAGTTACTTTTTTATTATTATTATGCCCCTCTAGTGAGGTTAGCAGTAAGAAACAGATAAACACTTGACTATGCTAAAACAAAGGAAAATGCAAGCCTTTTAGTGAATCTGAATGTTTAGGGCCTATGGGCTTCAGATGGTTATTGTTTATAAAGCAGAATAAGGAAAGGCAGGCTCAACAATGCTGGAAAGTAGGGGTTGTGATTCTAGAGAAGAAGGTTGGTTCTGTGGCCATCAACTTTTATAGCAAACATCCTTGTTGTGCTACTTGCAATAACTTGAAGTTATTGCACATATCATTCCCTTTCCCCTCCCTGGGGCTCTTCTTGTGGTGTTGCAGTTTCTACCTCCTTGCAGCATGGTCCTGCCAGCCGCAGGATGCTGCTCTTCCTCTTGTTTGATGGGAGTGGAGCCCTGGTGAGGAAACACTGCCTGGCCCACACTCAGGCTGTGCTGAGGCAGCCCTGGAGTGTAAGAGAGCCCTTTCAACACAGTGAACCAGTGCCTCATTGCTTTTAGCCTTGCTGCACTGGGGTCAGAGGTTTCTGGTCGGGGAACTAACTAACTGAAAGCTTTGGAGTTGTGAGCAGGGAAAATTAATTTTTTTTTCTTTGCTTCAAGTAAACTTGGTTGTGCTCTTCAGTAGGGTCAATTTTATCAAAAGTACCTGCTACCACTACCACTTTCTCTGTTCTGCTCTGGAGAATATTCTCCAGTACCCTTAAAATATGCTTGGGTAAAGTACTGACTTAAAATTCAGTCTTTCCAAGAGGAAGGACTGCAGACTTTTTGATCTAAGCCAGGCAAGTAATCAAGTGTAGTCTCAAGACTTAAAAACTAGAAAAAAATTTGTATTTCTAAAGATTTATTTGAGAGCAAGTCTTCAAAAATAGAAGAAAAATAGAACTATCCTATAGGTGTGTTAAGATGGGAATAATACTTAGTAGGGAGTTTGAAGTTAACAGTGGCCAGGAGCTGGCAGAGGAAATGGGAGAGTAGGAGATTGGATGTTGCATTGATTTGGAACACTTGCCTATCTTTGGACGTGTCTTGGACCTTCTTTTTCTCATCTTTTGGAGTTTAAACCCAGCCTTTCCTTGTAAAGAGCTGTGACTGGGGAGACTGTGATGGTTGGTTAACACTGACAAATTATTATCAAAAAGGCAATAAATTCATCAGCAAAATCAAAGAAAGGGTTGATCAAGAGTAAGTGTAGTCTGATTGGCCTTGACTGTTAAAGAAAAGGCCACTTTTAATTGCCAAGCTTTTAATTGCAGGGATCCAGTGAAACCACTCTCCCTGCTGAGGAAGTAGGGAGACTTGAAACGGTGAGAACTGGGATTGTGTTACAAGGTCTACCTCCAACTGTAGAGCTGTAACTTCTACTCTGATATCTCAGCTGAATCATTGTAATTTGGCTATTTTGTGTGTTTGGATTTACAAACACTTGGAAAGAAAGGATCCAAAACTGCTTGGTTCTCAAATGCAGACTGGACTGACACAAATACATCCATACAAAAGTTGGGAGATGACATTTGGAGACTGGGATGTGAGGTTAGAGAAAAGAAGAAATCTTAATAGTTGATGTAGTAGATGATCTTACAACTGATTTAAATTTCGTTACACCTAATAACAGTAACATCAGGGCTTATGATTTCAGTCCACAGAAAATCGCCTTAGCAATGGTGGATAACTGTTTTGGGAACAAGTGATGCGTAACAAACAAGTTACTTTCCCCTCTGACTCCAAATAGTGTTGAACAGCTGTGTGCAGGTTCAGCTTACCAGCAGAGAAAGCGTGAAAGTACTGGGACAGTCTTAAGGCATCCACTCACATGTGATGCTGACTAAATGCAGATGGCTTAAGTGATTGCAGTCTTCAGTTTTATGCCTTGCCTGTATCTTAAAGGCTGCTGCTGCAATGCTGGCTGAGTGATATATGAAATATGTGTGTTTACATTTATGAGCCAAACTGTAAGAATGGAGCAGAGTCACGTAAGCTGGTACTTGTAGCTGCTAAAATTCTTGTGGCTGGAAAGTATGAGTGGAGTGTTCTGGTTTGCAGGATGCATTTGAGGAGCAATAAATAGTAAAAATGACTGTCATTCAAAATGGGCAGAGAAAAAGTCCAAAGTTTGTTTTACTTGGGCTGTGAGCCTGTTAAATTGGATCAGGAAGAAAAAAAGATTCCAGTAATTGCAAGAGTGTGGTTTAGCATGGCTAGTAAGGATTCTCATGACTATTCCTGTTCTTTGCCTGCTTGTGAAAATTTTCACCTTAGGCACAGATGCCAATGCTGACAATTTTTGAATATTGTAAAATTATTTGGAGCAAGGGTTGTGTTTTCAAAACAGTAGTGCTTATCATTGTAGAGGAGAGAAAAACCATCAGAAGAACTAGAAGAAGTTAATTATAAACTCCTTGGGGAAACTTTGGGATTAGCTCCTGTTCTAGACTAACATCTTGACACCAACTTGGCAAACACTTGCAACAACTGCTGTAGTGTGATTTTGCAACTCTGCAGAGGCCTGTATGGGAACATGTTAGTCCTGTTGCCACACACACGGAAGAGCCTTGTTGGAAGGCCAATTGCAAACACTAGGGATTGGCTTCTCCATCTTACCAGGAACTTTTGCTCATTTTGTCCTCATATGTTGCAGAAATACAGACAGTAATGGTTCATTCACAACTGGATAGTCAGAGGGGCAGTTGGTGTAGTCTGGCAGGAGTGAGCTACAGAGCACATAAAGCCTTCTCAGAAACTAGATTTTCATACTGGATATTAGCTAATTGGAAAATCATCTGGCAATGTTGGTCTTGAGAAAGTGTAGCCATCTCCATGTCAGCCCCGAGGAAGGGTCTTCTGAGCCCAGAGGAATTTGGCATTCTGAGTGAAACACTCCTCTGCAGGCACAAGTAGCTAATGGGTGACAGATTCAGGATTCAGCTGATTATAGCAGATAGCCAAGACCTTTCCAGTACTTGATGATGACCATATGGCTGCTGTGCTCTTTGCAAAAGCCTTGGCTGGGGGAGAGAAGGGTTTTCTACAGATATAATCAGAACACAGCAGGCACCATCATCAATGTTTCAGTTCCAGGCACTGATGTGTTGCAAAAGACAGTTGTGAGAGTTAAGCTGTTTTGTAGTGTGGGAGAGTGTTCATCAGCATCTGTGTGGGTCCTTGCATCAGCCAGAAAGCAGCTGTGAACCATTTCATGGACAAGTTCAAGGTTTGCTCAGTAAAATATCAAGAGCCTTTGACTGTAGTATAGCTTTCAGTTAATGAACCTTCCACCTGATGGGTGAGATAGGATTCCAGAAAAGGGAGTGCACCCAGCACATCCTGTTCCTCTTGGTGACTTACAGTTGATGGGAAACAGCAGGTAGCTGACCACTTCTTGTCTTGGGCTTTAAATTAGACTTAACCTGATATGTTCAGCAGAGCTCCTGGCAAGGCACAGAGACATCTCCAGAGACCCAGAAAGCAGAATACAGGGGGAGGAAGTGTCTTTTTGTAAGAACAAAATTAACTTGATCTCTAGGAATTGAGAAGATGATTTTGGATGATCAGTCATATGTTTGAAAGCAAACGTTTTCAAAAAATTGTCTGCTTTGATTCCACCCACAAGGTGGAAATCCCACAAGGATTTCCAATGCACAAGGATGGAAAGCAGAAGTCTGCTAAATATAGTGGGTTTGGTAGTTTTATTTTGGTGCATTGACTCCTTAGAAATTTTACATTGACAGAGAGTTACTCTTGGGTAAAAAAGCCAGAATATTATTTTTACAGACAAAAAAAAGTTTCCTTCATTGCCTAAAAAATCCCCATGACACCTTGAGGAATGGATCACTGAATCCTGGTTCCTGTCCATTGTCCAAGTCTTCTCTTCCTCTCCCTGGAAAGCTGGCTGCTCTCGTTTCCCTTATTACCCATTCTCCATGTCCTCTCCTCTGACTTACACAGGTTCCCAGCAAGACTAGTCTGAGGCAGCAATGGCTCCTGTGCCATCATGCTGGTTCAGACACCCATCACACCCACAAAATAACCTTCTCTCTCCCTTTCTCTCCCCTACCCTTCTACGCCTCCTGAATTGTTTTTATGCCAGTTTCCTAATTACTTAAAATATTTGGTTTTTAATCTTACCAAAAATATGGGAAAAAATTATGATCAGTCTTTTGGAGAATATGGGAATGTTAATAGTGTTAAGCAGAAACAATGAATTGACATCCCTTAGTTCCAGTTCACAGTTTTTCTTTACCCTACAGAGACTAATGTATGTTGTTAATGTTGCCAGTAATTTTGCATCTCTATGTCTTCATCCAAGAAAACGAAAACTACCTTAAGAGCATATTTAGCTCTAAGAATATGAGTAGCTGAAATTCTAAAAATAAAAAAGGAACAAAGTCAAAGTTATAGAGAGTCACAGTAATCCTGAAAATTTTATACAAAGATGTATTCTGTTTTCCCACTTCTATTTACACTGAGTTAGTTTGCTTGTAGAAGCCTCTTGATATGCTCAGGTTGCCAGAAAACTAATGCTTGGAGAACTCTGTGCAGCAGCTTGTTTTTGTTAATGTGCTGGCTTAGGATTTGGGCTGGTATTAAAAAAAAAAACAAAAAGAAAAAAAAACCACTAAAAAAATTCAATATTTGTTGATGTGTTTCCTGCCTCCCACTCACTGTGTTTCAGGAAATCTTCAGAAGAACTGGACATGGATAAAGTAACAGCAGCCATGGTACTCACCAGTTTATCCACCAGCCCTTTGGTCCGCAGCCCTCCTGTCCGACCCAATGGTAAGCCTTTGGAGCCAGGGGCTGTGGGAAGGGGTGCCAGGGTCCTTTATTGGGGGACTTGTTTCCAGGAATTGTGGCCATGGTGTAGAATAAACGGTGAGTGGCTGTCTTCTGGTATGTTGGGGATCATACTGAGTTTTGCTCCAGATACCCATTCCATAAATGGGATATGAGCACTTCAAAAAGTCTCTTGACCTCACTGAAACCATTAATATTTCAAAGAGCTTGTTTGCATTTGCATACGTAAAGTCCTAGAATTGTAGAACAGTTAGGATTGGGAAAGACTTCTAAGATCACCAAGTCCAACCATCAAGCTGGCACCACCACCATGTTCACCTCTAAATCGTGTTCTGAGTGCCATATCCAGGAAACATGATAGCAGTTGTTAGTTATTGTCATCTACTCCATGGAAATGAGATCAGATTTTACCCAAAACCAAAATAAGGCAAAGAACTTCTGGATCACAGCCCTTGGCTGAGAGGCCCTGCAGTAACAATCCATACAGCAAGAGATCTGCTTCTCTCTGCACCTCCAATTCCTGTGCTGTGTGTGACTCTCTGATGATCTTTCATCAAACCCATAATCTGTTTAAAGACTACTTCATTCATGGTATAGCAGAAGACACACAAATAAAAATAAGTATAAAAAGTTTCAGGTAATGAAGAGATTGCTAATGAAATATAATTGATCTATGCAAGATTGACTGGAGTTACAATAAATTTTTAGGAGTGTTTTATTTTAAGGAATAATTTAAATTAGGACACCCTTTTCAGGGCACCTCAGCATTGTTTGTATGACAGACTTTTCTTACTCACTTGTAAATGCTGAAAAAAACACTAGATGGTCTACTATCATTAATTGGAAGATTGAAGAATACTTGCTTTTCTTCATGGGAACAGGCATGAGCCACTGTAAAAAGTTAAAGGGATTCATAGCAAATATCAATGCTGTGGGTTTTCCATTTATTTTCAGGAAATGTAAGTTTTATCCATTTAGTTGGAATTCTGGCCATGAATGCCCATGACCTTTGTTCATGCGCTTTCTAGTGTTGAAAGCCAGAAGTGTTTATTGGAGTGCCACTGCTCTGAGGAGCCCTGGGAAACCTCAGGCAGTGACATCCCTGGTGACTGTCACGCTTCAGGACAGGATGTTGCCAGCCCCTGGGAAAGGTCAGCAGAAGGGTAAAAGCACACCTGCTTTCCAGCTGCTCAGCTCACAGACAGAACTACAGCTGAAAATGGATCTGTGCTTGATGTGGCAGGCAGGGATTTGGTGTGGCCAAGGCCATATATGTGTCCCCTGCTGCATCCCTGTCCTGGGGAGCTGCTCTGCTGTGGGCGAAGCAGTATCTGCCACCTTAGACAGTCTGAGCAGGTGACACTTGCCAGGAGCAGTAGCGCATGTTAGCTGCAGCTGTCGATTGGAAAGATCTTCCAAACAAGACTTTTGAATTGCTAATAGGCAAATGGTGGCTGTTTAACTGCCTTTGATATTTCTTAGCATAGACTGAGTGCTCTTTGATATTTCTTCATATAGCTTGTCGGCTTCTTTCCCAAAATCTGGGAAGACTAGCCTGAAAAAGTAATTAATATGTTTTCAGTAGTCACAGGAAAGATTTTGAAACTGGTTTTGGGCACCTTCTCCCTGAATATCTTAGTTTTGCCTTAGTCAAGCCTTACTAAAGACTTAAATAGAAGTCTAAAGACTTAATAATTTAAAGCTTTTTTGCTGTTGCAAGGCTTGGCTCTGATCCTAGTAATACAAGCAACAAATGTATTAGTGATTAGTTTTTTTCTACATGCTTTTCCAAAAAAGGGCAATAAGTAGCAGTATAATTAAAGGACCATTTGTTAAAACAAACGGAATTTTGCATAGAAGAAAAAAAAAAAATAACATTAACGTTAATATTAAAGTCAGATCTGTGCTGGAATTCCTGGGAATGATCACCCATGTGAACTGGATCAGAGTTTGGCCCTTGTTTCTCTGCAACTGAATAATATTTGGTCTGGTTCTCTTTCACACAACTCCAGCAATGTGAAAAGAGCCCCAAAATAAGAGTAAGTTGCATTTATTTATATATTAAACTTCTTTACATTGACAGATTTGTTAGTATGAATGAGAACCAGTGTTTGGTTTCTTCCTATTGTCAACCTCATTCAGTCTTTTCCATGCTACTTTAAAAATATTCTTGATTTACATCTCTTTCTCAGCAACGTGAGAAGCTGTAAGCACTGAGAATACAAAGTACCACCATAACTGTGTCAGAAAGTAGTAATTGAAAGAGCTTTCCTTTGTTTTTCTGAAGACATGGAAACTTTTAGCTGTGCTAAGGTCAGAAGTTGATCCCAGATGTATTTTTTGGCTTTGGCACAAGGCTGAAATACCAAATATTTCAGAGAAACAAAACCCACCTTCATTACAGTCACATGAAGGTTGTAATCGTGAGATAAGAGATGACATTCTCATATGTTAACTTAGGAGCTACCAGAAATGTGTATGTATGTCCTTTTCCAAAGAGGAAGTGGAAGGAGTGGAGGGACAGGATCAATTCCATTTATGCTGTGTGGTCCTGATCAGTAAATCAGTACTGCTGCCTACTCAAGGGGGCACTGTGTTCTGGATTTTTTGAGCAGCTGATGTTAGTCATTAAGGATTTTGTCCAAAACCAACTGAATTAGGAGAAAAAAACCCAAAAATGCATTGGTTTGGGGGTAAGCTTTTGATAGCTCACTTTCTTGCCAATATCAGTAGTTAAATTTATCTGTAAGAAATTGAGAAGGAATGAAGGAGTGACTTCTGCAGATCTTTTAAAGACAGGCACTGGCTTGAAAGGACTTGTCTCACACTTAAATATTGATTCATGAACAGATAAGATGTTATTTGCTTGCCACCTCCAAAGTCAGGTATTGCACAATACTCAGGACCTACAGTGTCATTGGGAAAAGCTTCCGGTGCCTGATTTAGGAAGAAGCCTCACCTAAACCGTTCCTGTGCATTTGCCCAAGCCCTGTGAGAACTTGAGGGTTCTGGCAGAGCTGCCTGTGGCTGCACCCTGGATGTGCTTGGGCCATGCCTTTGCTGAGCTCATGACCTACATACTCCCCTGCTGCCAGGAGCCCTTTAGGGATGGGTGTCTAATGCCTGGGGAGCTCTGCATGTGAAGCATGGCTCAAGCTGTGCCTCAGAGTGCACACGCAGTGCTGTTACTCCCACCCATGGTGCTGCAGAGTGTAAGCTGTGGGTTCAAATGTCTTCTTACCATGTAATGTCAGGAGAGCTGCGCCACTGAGGTGGCAGTTCCTCTAGCGAGTAGGTGTGGAGGTGATCCAGTGTCTGTGTGTTCCACTTCTGAAACCAGATGCCTGTACACCTGTATTTCCCAAGGGATACATACCACCTCATGCAGAGATTCAGGTTAGGCAGAGGCGTTTGTATTGAGAGATTGTAAGAAAACAGAGTGTAACTATGGTTTTCTTTGGTGTTTTACTCTGGGAAGAATGTCATGTTTTTGTGGATCTGCTTAGTGTTCTGGGGCTCAGAGTGTATGTCCCCTCCCCAGTGGATCTCCTGTTGGCCATACAGAGGCTTGGAGCTTGCTTTGGTACCGCACCAGAGTTGTGTGTTCCTGTTGAAAGTTGAGGATATATTTAGAATCATAAAATAGTTTGCATTTGCAAGGACCTTTAAAGGTCAATTTAAATGTTTTCCTTAAATCACACATGCGATATATGACGGTTTATTGCTATTTATGCTTCAGAACAGGTTATCTTTTCAAATGCAACATTTCTGTATGGAAAACTGTTTTGCTGCTTTTGTTTGTTTGTTTGTTTGTTTATTTTAAATCAAATGAAAATCAAGTGTGGAATACATAATTTGTGTACAGTGGGTTAGATATGGTTGTCCTCTCTACATCCAATGCTTTCACTTTCCTTTACTGAATGTGCGGTTAATTATCAACATGGCATCTAAACCTTAGAAAAAAGAGCTCCTAAGCCCTATCACAATGATACTGTTGTAATAATAGTTTTTCTTGTTCTTGACAGAATCCCTGAATGGATCTTGGAAAGAAGGAGGATTTGTGCCTTCTAGTACCAGCAGCAGTGGATACTGGAGCTGGAACGCTCCCAGTGACCAGTCCAACCCATCCACCCCATCTCCACCTCTGTCAGCTGATAGCTTCAAAGCTTTTCGGACACCTTCCCAGCCAGATGATGGTATTGATGAAGGTGAAACAAGCAACCTTCTCTTCGATGAACCCATTCCTAGGAAGAGAAAGGTTAGCCTCGTGTTAAATGTCCATACCCACGGGTAGATAGGATGTTGGTAGGCTGGTTTTGTTGTGAGAAAGGAACGGGTCACCCAAATACCTCTGCTTGTGTATCCTTCCTTGTCATCCATTTAACACAGTCACTGTGTTTCATTCAACATGGTCACCTCCTGCACACACACGCTGCCATCAGCGCCACATATTTCCTGCCAGATGGTGAGGTGCTGCAGAGCCTCCTGCTCAGAAAACACTAGAGTGGTTTCCAGAAGGTGTTGCCTCTGGCCATTCAAGGGATTTCTGTCCTACTTTGACAAATTCTCTGTGTGCAGGATGCAACAGGCAGCCTTTACATGTCATCACAAAAACTGACTATGGCCTTAATACTCCTTGTTCCCTGAAAGTGCTGTTTGTCTGACAGCATGTCAGATACCTTAATACTGTGAAGGTTTCTCTGCACAAACATATGGAGTGCAAAAAGGAGAGAGAGAGCTCAAACCCGATGGCTTTTGATATAGTATTAGCATTAGCCAAATTTATCCTCAGTTGAAGTACAAAAGAGGCTAAATAAAACATGACACTAAAAAAAAAAAGGTCCAAAACTAACCCCAAAAAAGCACCATTGCTAGCCAGCAAGCTTCTCCGTAAGGAAAGAAAACAAAGAAATGGCACTAGTCCAAGTCTCCTTCCCAACACAACAGGACAGATTTTACATAGCAAGATGTAAAAAGGCTTTTTGTAAGAATTAAAATCAGAGAATTTATTCCCTTAGTGATTTTGTTTCTGGCTCAGTCTGAGACAGTTAATTGATTCATCACCAGCAGGAAGAAGTTTTAATGATTGTTTAAACCTGTTCAGATTTATCCTCTTGCTCCAGAAGCTGCTTATTTGCTGACCCATGTGGTTCTTCCCTTGTTCATGGGAAAGGGGTGAAAATCTTTGTGCATCTTGCTAAGAAGGAAAAATTATTTTGGAGGACACCTTTGTTATAATGAATTAGAAACTGGAGCTGAGCGTTGCACTTAACAGAGTCAATCTGGGGGTGTGTGGGACAGGAGGAGTAGGAGTGCAGAAGTGTCTTCGTTTGCCTTTTACTTCTCAGTTAACCTTCACCTTATTAGCACCACTCTTACTGCTCAGCTGTGATGAGACAGATGGGTTTGCAGCTGCTGTCTTTATTGTTTTCTAAGTTGCATTCAAATATTTCTATTTATGTACCCACCATAGGTCTATTACACTATCTCTTCTGGTTCACAGGGATTTTGCTTTGTATGGCAAATGTTTTATTTAGATAAACAGTAATATTCCATGCCAAACTTGGTTTTAAAAATTAACTTACTTTCCTGCAGTTTTTTTTCTTTATTCTGGCTCCAGCATTGTACTTGATCTGAGTACAAGTTAGCATCTTTAGAAGTTGAAACAAAAATATTCAGGCCATTTCTTCTTCAGGGCTGCAAAAGTCAGAAGGAGTAAACCTGGAAATAAAGTGATTGATAACTTTACTATGTGTTTAAAAGTTTCCTCTAAGGTAGTTATTCCTCACCAAACCATTTATGTTCCATTATTTTCTTAAATAAAACATTAAGCCTGAATAGGTATTTTTTGGAAAGGAAATTGAGGAAATGTAAGCATGTTCTTTATTTCTACTGGGTGAGCTTTCACCTGATTATATTAAAAGTGCGTTGGGTTTTGCAAACTCCTACCACTGACAATAAATCCAAAACCACAGTGGTGCTAGGAGACTGATTTTACCATCAAACTGGGGATGGATGTTAAACCATTCTGTGTTCATAAAGATGCATGTGGTGTTTATGATGTCATATTGGAATTCCTAGGATGTCAGTTATAAACATGGCCTTCATCTTGTTTTCACAGGTGGTGGTTGGTTGTGTGTTTTTGAGCTGATAATAGTATTTAGTATTATATTATGTAAGTAAGAAAAGTATGAATCAGAATTGCTAGATTATATTGAATATGAGAAAAGAAAAAGAGTTCTGTATCTATTTAACTGATAGTTGTATTATCAAATAAAAAAATAGGCAATTTTTGTGCAATTTATTCCAAAGTAGAAGTTTTTCATACAACCAGTATGATCAGGTACCTCAAATCTCAAAGCCCTAAGCATTCAAACTTCAAAACAGGAGATGTTAGACTTCAGGGAACTATGAGAACATGATACTACAATCAACTTGTATTTTAAACAGCCCATCAGCTGTGATTTTTTTTTTAAAGTTATATTCTAATCATTATCTTTCTAGCAAATGCTGAAACTATCTACTGTCATGCATTCCAAAGCGCCCAAATTGAAGAGAGCACCAAGTCAGTTTTTGTTCAAGGCACAGTGAAATGTACTTAACCCTAAGGATGTGCTTGTTTCCACCCTACCCTTTTTTTTAAAAAATTAAGTTTTATATGAGTATATTAATTTATTCTTATATGTAAATAAAATTACAGAATAATACAATATTTTTGATGCTCTTCCTCATGTTAATAATATGTTCTGTAATAATAGAGGAAATTATTTTTGAGAATTACAAGCTATTTAGAATTCTTTTTTTTATTTAAACTGTACAAAATCACTTCCATTTTGGGGTAAAATTAACTTCTAAATATCTCTGGAGTTTGTAACATCTGTATTGTTTTAAGACTACTTTTCTTCAGAGTCTTCAAAATGTTGAAGATTAGCCTAGTGATAGCCTTGTTGGCTGTGCTCTAAATTAATGATAAGTCAGTGGGGATCAATTAAGTTATATTAAGTTATATTAAGAATATAGAAAGGATATTTAAATGAGATTCTACCTGTATTTTTTTTAAATATAGCACACAGACAGATAACTTCTTTTCTGAGTAAGGTCCACAGCAGCTTCTGAGTGAAACAAAAGCAGGTTGTGCCAGGTCATGGCAAATATTGACATAACAGAAGCTATGTTTTGCTGGCGCAATATTTTTTTGTGCTGCAAATATCCGGAGCAGAAACATTCATAAGAGATTGCTTTGGAAAGACCTTCATTTAAGAAGGTGCCTTGGATTAAGTGAGAAGTCCTCACCAGGGTTTTTTTGAAAGAAGTGGAAGTTTTTATATCATCTACCTCCCTGAGCAGAGGAACTGAAACTTTAAAATGGAAGAGTGCTGACAATGATCAGGGAGAGGTAAATTTTTGTCACAAGCTGCTCTTGCAGCTTTTCACTGGGTTCTCTTGAATTCAGTAGGGTGACACACTCCACAAAAGACTATTAGAACACTGTGAATTTGGAGTCAAAGGCTCTGAACCTTGACACTGTTTTGTAGCTGTTTATCTGGTTTGGGTAGTCTGGGATTTTTTCCAGCTTCATAGAATTACAGAGTCACAGAAATTTTCAGCCCTTAACCCATCACTACCAAGTCCAGCACTAAACAATGTCCCCAGGCAACACATCTACAAGTCTTCTAAATACCTCCAGGGCTGGTGACTCAGCCATTTCCCTGAGCAACCTGTTCCAGTGCATAACAACCCTTTCAGGGAATAAATTTTTCCTAATATCCCTACAACTTCCATACAACTAATGTTGCTTTACTCATAATTTTCAGAACTCCATGAAGGTGATGTTCAAATGCCTGTGGAAGAACTGTGGAAAGGTACTGAGCACAGCTGCAGGGATTCAGAAACACATACGGACCATTCACCTTGGGTAAGAGCGCAGTCTTTTTGGGAGTCTAAAGGATTTGGTCTAGAAGAGAAGCAATTGCCCTTGGCTGGAGAGATGAACTGGATTGCCCTTGGCTTCTCTCTCATATTCCTGTGTTTCTGAGGAAATTGCAGAATAGTGCATCAAGGTGAATGAGCACTTATTCCAACAGCGAGGCACTTTCTTTCCTGAAATTCTGTCAACTTTGCTAGAAGGTCAAATAGAGCTCGGGGTCACACTGCACTTCCCTGTCAGCTGCACTGCTCAGTGCCATTATGTCATATGTGCTGTCTACACATCACATCTGGGATGGCACTCTGTGGTAGACAGGTTCAGGGTCTTACAAGAATACTTTTCAGTTTTGTTTCACATCAGGTCAGGTGCTTGTGCCAGTTCTGAGTTGAATTAATGAAAAAAAAAAAAAAAAAAAGCAAAAAAACCCACCAAAACCACAAACGACATAAGAAACCTAAAAATAAAAGGAAACTGAGCTGCATGTTGTCATGGTTTAACCCAGACCACAGCTAAGTATAACAAAGCTGTTCACTCACTGTCCCCTTCCTTCTGTGGAATAAAGGAATAAAGAGTAAACCTCTTGAGTTGAGGGTTGAGACAAGAACAGTTAAATGGCTTAAACAAAATAAAACACTGATTATAGTAATAACAGCTAATAATAACTCTAATACTTCTAAGGAAAGGGGGGAGAGAGAGAGAGAGAGAGATAAAGAAACTGAAGAGAAATGAGTGACACACATTACAGTTTCTCACCAGCTGCAAAGATCTGGAGCTCAGGATGGTCTTGAAGAGGTCTGCAGTTACCGTTGGGCTTAAGTGTAAGGCTGTGGGAAACGGAGAAAATCTCTCTCAAAATGCAGTTAGGAATGTTGATTTGTGCTTTATATTATGGGGACATCCTCTTTGTGGTGTGGGAGAGGGAGAATAGCAAAACCTTCCTGGAATTTGCTGGAGTTAGAGTTTTCTGGAAAGAGTACTTGTGGTCAGTGACTGCCTGCATTCTGATGGATGGTACTTCCGGTAGAGCCTTTCAAACCTGCTGGACCTATGTTCTCTCAACAAGTTCTGGTTTGGACTTCAAGACAACATGTAGTCTACTATGAGCTACTGCTTTGACTGGGTTGCTTCACTGTTAGCCTTTGTGCTCAAATGCATATCAGATGAAACTTCAAGGCAATTAAACCTCCTTCATGCCTTCCTTCAATAAGTCTGCTTCTGGAGTGTGGGACCAGAAACTCCTGGCCATGGCAAGCCAGCCCAAATGAGTGCTTTGTCTGTATCTGAGTTGCATGGTGAGACTGTTTCCTAGCAAATTCTTGCGTTACAGAAAGTTACTGTGAATGGCAGCCATAACTATATTTGGCATAATTAAGTAACTTCTGATAAGATTGTGTATTGTTTGCTGTAACATGAGTGAAGTATATCTTGCCTGTGTCTCTTATCATTGCTATGACTTTTGAAGACATAATGCATTGGGATTCTTGTTAACTTTACAATAGATACAAATGAGAAGCTGATACTTGATCTGAAGGAGTCAAACATCTACTCCAAGGTGAGACAATTTGTCAAAAATAACACAGAGAGGGGAAAAAAGTAATTGCTACTCCTTTTCACTTCAGATTACCTGCAGTCAGAATGCAGATAAAGTAGGGAGGGTTGAAACTGCAAATGTTAATTTATCAACAATATGAATATATTCACTCATGCATCTAGAACTTAAAATTTACCTCAGGGTTCTTGCTTTCAATCAATTCTTACTTTTTTCTTTTGATGCAGACGTGTAGGAGAGTCAGACTACAGTGATGGAGAGGAGGATTTTTACTATACAGAAATCAGGCTCAACACAGACTCAGTAGCTGATGGCTTAAGCAGTCTTTCCCCAGTCTCTCCATCTTTAGCGTCTCCTCCTTCCTTTCCCACCCAAGACACAATCCGTCCTGAAACTTCCTGTGCCAAAACCGAGACTAAATTGATGACACCTCTGAGCCGCTCAGCTCCTACCAACCTCTACCTCGTACACACGGACCATGCTTACCAGGTAATACCAGTGGTATGAGCTCCAGTGATTGCACTAATGTCACTAATGTGTAAAAAAATGTCACATCACGATGTTTGGGTTTTAATGGGCTGAAAGGTTTTCAGAGCATTCAAAGGCATTTCTATTATTTAAATCGAGATGTAGTCTTCTGAGCTTATTGTTTCTTCGTTTGTTTATGTGCCCGCCACAGGCAATGGGTTTTGGGGTGCTATTTATCCAGCCACACATAGATGCATATTTCAGGTTGAGAAGAGTTGATCTGTGTATCTCACTGCCTACATCAGTTCAATTTTCACTGACCATAAGGAGAACCCAAGGTGTTGTGCTTAGATGGGGTTGCCTGCATTGTAAAATTTCCCATCCAGTCAGCTAAATCTCTCCCAGAGTCTTCATCCCAGCTCTGTTTTTATTGAACAAGTACAAGCTCTGACAAGCTTTGACAAGTGTCAAAAAGTACCCAAAGAATGCCAACAACAATTCATTTCCTCTTTTTGTACAGTGTGAGATGTCAGGTTGCAGTTATGAAGTAGAACAGGAAGAATGAAAAAAATATGGGATCTTCCTAATTTTGGAGGTGATGCTGTCCTAAAACATTCCTGCTAAGTTTCAGCAGAAAGCATTAATAATAAAACTGCACTAAAACTTGACATGTTTTGGTCTGGATAGCATAAGAGAAATGAAGAATAGAGGCTTTGAAGTCGTGTGGTCCTTGACCTGCCTATGCACTGGAGAACTGAACTCTGTTAAATTTATCAGATGCAATAACTATCATATATGGCATTGTTCAGATAAAACTTCTGTGGTGTGTTTGGAGCACACCTACTAAAAGGTCAGAGGGAGCTATAGAGAATTCACAGGCTTGTTTTAGACTTTTGTGCATGTTGAAAAGCATGGGTGGAAGCTTGGTATTGCAGGTGGAAGCTGCATCAGGTAGCATGCCAACCTGGGGACTGATGAAACCATAGGAGAAAAACTTGCTTCTCAGTGTAGCTTAAGGCTGCCTCAGAGAGTGAGGCAACAAGTCTAGGCTGGTGACAAGTTTTGCTTCATTTGGGATTTGCAGTCATGAGAGTCTGCCCTGCTGTTCAGAGACCCTCTCAACCCTTTTTTACAAGCAGCCTCTGAGTAAAGCACTTGCCTAAGGAAATCCCAGTTCAAGTGTTTAAAGTCCTTGAATTGGATTTGAATTGATGTATTCCATGATACAAGGCTACAAGTGCCTGAGCCCCGTGGGCTTTTCAGGTTGCTCTGGTTTCAATGCTTAATTTCATCAGTGAGGAGTGACAGAGTCCACACTGTTCACAGCTTGCTAATTGGAAGCAGGAGGCAAGGTCCCTGCTCAAGCATTCAGGCTGCCCTGGCAAAGGAAGCAGCTTCGGTAGAGAAGGTCAGTGGTATCCTCTGCCAAGATCACTTCAGCCCTGAAAGAAGGAGCAGGAGGCAGGGTGGAGATTCAGATGTCACTAGCCAGAGAGAAAGTGGAGATTACTTCATTGGGAGCAGCTCAAGGAACTGGGGTAAGGGAGGCTGAATATTGTTAATCACAGGATTCCTGTTAAAAAAAAAAAAGGGGGGGGCAGAATACAGAACCCAAAGCTTGGTCATAAGAAGAGATGTGGTAATTGCCATTTCCTCTATGACTGAAAAACATCAAATACACTGAGAAAGATATGAGGAAAGTGAGGAAAGTCCTGATGCTCTTCCCTGACCCAGTCCTTTGGGTGAGTAATGATTTAGAAGAATAATTGAAGAAATTCTGGAAAGTACAGCAGTTGAGGCAAATGGCATTGGGGGAATCCCAGAGAAAGATGATGCTAGAACAATATAGGAAGCAAAAGAACAAATCCCTCTGGATTCAAGGAGAGCATTTGATCTTAAAACATATAGGCAGTATTTGTTAAGCTAGAGAGAAATTTACTGTAGGACAAGGAGCTGGAAAGTCACAGAGAACAGCACTGAGTTATTTTGAAAGGGCCTTTGGATGTCGTTAGTGGAGTAAAATGAAAAGCTGTTCTTGGTCCTGATCTCACTTTCATTAAGTCATTTTGGTAATATACAAATACTATAATAAACTTCACTGATAACAGATTTGGGAAGCATCAGCAAAAAGGGAGTTATAGATCAGGCTTACATGACTGGGTGGTCTTAAGAATAATAGGGTTTTGATGCAGTTTAATGTCAGAACATGCAAAGTCCTGAATCTAAGGAAATAATGAGATTTTTCTGCCATAAACTAGGGTAGTTAGAAAATTATGTAAGAAGGAAACCTATGTTCGTTAATTAAGCACAGAATGACCATGAGCCAGCAACAACAGAGCTGTGAAGGGGAAAAAAATAGTTGTCAGCTCTGTTGGAAAAGAAATATCTAGGAGAGACAGAGGTTTTTAATGCCATTCTATAAGAACCCCATATAACTTCAGCTGAAATCCTGAGCTATAGTTCTGGTCAGCCAAACTGGGTGTGATGGGCTCCAACCAGAAGAAATAGAAAGAGACCAGAGAGGACATGGATGGCCTCTCCAGCCCCAGGACTGATACCTCAGGCAGAGCAAGGAACAAGAAGAGGATGGAATTGCTGCCTGGGAAGACAGTGAAAGGACAAGCATGAGAGGGGAAGAGGATTGTTTTGGCCTGTTTCAGATATAAGGGTAATGTTGGCACAAATAAATAAATACAAAGTATTCATTGATATATTTTGATTGGCAGTTGAATAATTGGCAATAATAATCTTGGTCTCTAAGAAAATTGAGGTTGGGATATAGAAATTTTTCAGTTGGTTGTAATGTTATAGTCCCTTACCTTATGGAGGAGATTGACTGAAATGTTAGCCTGGAAAAGCTGACTGTTCACATCTGGGAAACAAGTGAACAAGGTGATTTACTAAGTATGATCATGTCTGAGGTAAATAGGCACTGAGAAAAAGGAACTGAGCACTATGGTATTTTAAACAACTGCAAATTGCATCAATTTTAAACTTCATGTTTCTTTATAAAACTATTGCTTGTACCTGTTAAATTTAGCTACAGGCAGGCTCTTTTAGCACCTAGGATTTCCCTTCCAGGTCTTATTCAAATACCTGAGCAAGTTGCTATGCTGACCCTGGGTTTGAGCTGCCATCATTGTGGGATGCTGAGCAGAGGCAGTGCTGCCTTACTGCTCATCCAGCTCTCTCCAGTTCTTGCTGTCTGGAGCTCTGTGGTCATTCACTCCTTCCCATTTGAACAGGGTTATGATGAAGAACTACTTGGTACCACTGATGTTGTCAAATTGTTCTTGATGCCTTTCAGAGAGGTTTTTATATTTTATGGAGCTCAGTGGATGTTTGCTCTGCATGTCTGTGTGGAGTCTCTTGGAACTATCAGCAGCTTGGCAGCCCACAGAGCATTGCTGCCCTACACAGAGGCGGCTGGTGGTCTCACCTTCCTTTTTCTGGAAGGCTCTAGGGGATTGCTTCAGCCCTTGTCTACTTGGAAAATTATCTTTAATGGAGACTATCAGGTTGTAATTGGTCATAACTCCTCTCTGCCTGGTGGCTCAAGGAAGCACTCTCTTCCTGAAGGAGTGAGACAATTTCAGCAGCCCCAACACAATCACTGCTTAAATGAATGTATTGTCTTATTGTCACGTACAGTCAACTGAAAGGCAGGAATGAAAACTCATTTTAGTAAATTCTTTGTAAGTTTAAACCAAAGAGGGTTGTTTTCTTTTGTGGTGACAACTTGAAATTCAAGGGTCAAAATGAACCTTTGTTCATGCTGGCTGCTCACGCTCCTGCTAGGCAGGGTAGCTACACAACTATGAATTTCATGATTCTGAAAATCAAATGGGATTCAAAAAGAGGCTCGCTCATAACCTAGTGAGAAAACCAAAGGAAAGGCACAAGATGAAAAGTGCTCAACAGTTTAAGCTCAGGTTATGGCACTTGTACCCCAAGGCACCACTGCATATTACAGCCCGGATGGGAAGAACCTAGGAGTTCAAGGAGCCCAGGAGTCCTTCGTATGCTTGCTTTAGTTTAGTGTTTCAACAGCTGTGTTTTGAATCAAAAGGATGATTTACAGCTCCTTGTTTTTAATAGGAAAAACTGTTTTAATTGGGATGACTCTTAACAGTTGTCTGATAAATGAGAAATGGCCAACACTTACTGTTAATCACTTCCATCCAAGAAGCCTTGCTATCCACATTAAAATTGTGTAAAACAACTGCTATGAGTTTAATATGGCCTTGTTTATCACTGTGGAACAGGCGCTCATCTGTGAAGTAGTTTTTGCTTCTTGCTGGCATTATTTTAAAAGTTACTTGTATGTGATGTTTTATTTTTTTTATTTTTTTAACATATCTAGCTCTTATGGGTTTTCTATGGAATCTTTTGAGAGCAATCATCTTTCTCTAAACAAAGTTTAGGGACAGTAGGGTATATATATAACTCTGTCCCTTCCTTACTAGCTTATCCATGATTATCCTTCTCACAAGGGTAAAAATGCTTGTCACCATGGAGTTTTTTATACCTTACAAAATCTCTCACAGATTTACCATTTCAAGGAATGAAAGATCCTTTGAAATGCTTTGGAAGAGGAATGGTTCTACTTGCTGGAATAATACTTTCTTTTCACACAGGCCACTCCTCCAGTGAACATTCCAGGATCAGCAAAATTCACTCCCAATGGCAGTAGCTTTAGCATCTCTTGGCAGTCGCCTCCAGTTACCTTCACCGGCATTCCAGTAAGTGCACATTAAAAAAAGGAAAGAAGGGGAGAAAAAAGTTTTTTAGATCTTTTGCTTTGTTTGACAGTGATTAATTATGGAAGTAAATGTGACATAGCAGATACCAAAAAGAAACAAATTAATCAGTGCCTGAGTTGGCCAGCATGGCTGTTTTTAATACCTCTGCAACTCACTTTATCAGTGTCGTTAGGTTATTTTTGCATCAGTGTCTACAAGCAGTTGAATCTATAGTATCTATAGTTGAATCTATAGTTGAATCTATAGTTGAATCTGTAGTATTTATGGTATATATTTTTTTAAACTATATGCTTACAAAAGAACATTCTGGTAGGTGCAGAGCCTGGCACTATGTACTTCTTTCTTGTGCTACTAAGAGATTTCTTAAAAAACTATATGGAAAATCAGCCTGGTGATGGTTATGCAAACAGGCCAGTTGGATTCAGGCAGTGGGGCTGTTACCTAAATGAACTCTGAAAATGAAGCATTTTTGAAAGGCAACTGAAAGAAACAATAAAATGAAATGCAAAGTCCCATTTTAGGAGGCTACAAGTATGTAGCCTCTACTGTTGGCAGGAAAATGTTGTTTTATACAGAAAATATGTTCAGTATCTATTGCATTTTGATATTAATACATATTTCAGTTTGACAGCTTTTTAATGAGGATGTATTAGAAGGAAATTCAACACTGACCCATTCTTCAGAAAAGCTGGTGTACATGGCCTAATTCTATTAACAGTGATGCTAAAAATCCTAAGGCATGAACAGGATTGCAGAAATGTGATATTTGCTTAAACACAGAATTGCAGTGTGCCACAGTGTAGGTGTGGTACTATGGGGGGGAGTGAAAAACCTTTATGAAGAGTTGCAAGGAATTCAGCTTGTAGTGTCTGCTGAAAGTAAATGCAAATCACTGTTTATGAGTAATGAGAAATCTTCGCTATGATGAATATAAATAAATATTAATTTAAAGTATCCTCATTTTATGGGAAAGCACTGTTTTAATGATAAATTTATATTCTCTAATCATAAACCTTTTTGATATCGTAACATCTCATGTAGTATTACTCTGTATGAATTTATGAATTTTTAAAGTGTGTTATATAAGGGACATTGCTCACCCAAAGAGCCATATAGCTTTTTTCCTCCTGACAGTGAATATTAGACAAGGCGATAAGAGATACTCTTTCCCTCCCTTCTCTTCACCAAATGAATCTCCAAAGCTTCTTACTGTCAACCTTTGGCAAATCTTGGAGATTTTCTGCAGAGGCTGTGGCATCCTGCAGAGCTGATAAAAATGAAAGTGACTGAATCAATTACACTGCACTCTGCCAATGAATATTTATTAAATTCCATCAAGGAACAACTAACAGTGAAAGACATCATGCTGGCAGCAATTTCAACAAGAGTGCCTTGACAGAGTGTGCTATCTGCAAAGTTCGCTGAGAATTTGATTTCCCAACAATGGGGTTGATACAGAGTAATTATGAAACTGGCTCCTTTTGTGGAATAGCAGAAACTGGTGCCAGGAGTGTTGGGAATCTAAAAACGCAATTAGTCACATTGTAAATCAGACACTTAAGAGGACAGGATTAGACACGTACGCATCGAGTTTGCTTGTTCAGGCAACAATGCTGATCTGTGGCTGTAGAGTGGAGAGTTCTCAATAGAATTTAAGAACTGCTAAATCACTTTCTGAGAATTCGATGGAGATGGCAATGATTTAAGTATAATTTGAAAGTAATCGCAATACAAAAACCTGGGGAAGCAGTGATGCAGAATTATAAGCTGCTCAGGGAACCGTGTGAACTGCCATTATAGCTCTAACAACATTTATAAGGCTGTTTAACAAAGAAAGAAATAATAATAATAAAAAAATCTTCTAGTCAATGTGTTTGCACACATTTGACTACTTTGTCATCAGTGTGATCATTTATGAATTATAAAGGCTTGCCTTTTACTGCCTGCAGTGAAAAATTATGTGCAGTGAGGGTGCAAATGCAAATTTATGTTAAATACCTGTATATTAAATTAAAGTTTTATTTCTGTTTCAAAGTAAATTAGATATTGCTTTACAAAATCAGGGGTATGGCAATTCCCACCCTTACACTGGGTGTAGGTACTTCACCTACATTCAGACTTTCTCCTTCTCTAATCAGGTTTATTTAAGACCAGACTGTGTGACAGAGCCAGCATAACAAACTCATGCAATTGTGACATACGTGGTCCCTGAGATGAGGCACAAATCTGTGGCACCCAAGGGAACCTCAGAGAATAAGTCAAAACCGTTACTTTTTGCTTGACCCTTAATATTTAAGCAAGCCATTTGCTAAAATGGTTTTGGAATACTTTTCTGGCCTGGACAAACCACTGAGCAGGAAAATATTGGATACAGATATGAAAAAGTGCATAGTTCTACACATTTTCAATATAGTCTCCTTTCATGTTTATTTTTTGGCACATACTATAGTGTTTCCCCCTTTCATTCCTGTGGACACTGAATTTCAATTACACTGAGCATTTTCTGCTTTCTGTCCTGGGAACTGGGATGTTCGAAAACCATGAATTGCATTAAGTCCTTGTTTTCAGAAAGTCTTTAGCAGAGCAGCACTGAAAGGCCTCTGTGAATAGGGGTGCACTCATCAGCAAGTAATGGACCACCTCAACCCATAAGTGCTGCTGGATCGGTTTGGCTCAGTATGTGGCTGTTCTAGGCTCAAGAGTATTCACATCTAAACACAAGCATTTATTTAGACATCTTGTTGTCATAAGAGCAGAGAAGTGGCCAAGGTCACTTGGTCAGTTCATCCTGGAGAAGCGGAGCCTGAGGGGAGACCTCACTCCAGTCTGCAACTTCCTTGTGATAGAAAGAGAAAGGGTAGGCACTGATCTCTGCTCTGTGGTGAACAGTGACAAGACCCAAGGGAACAGCCTGAAGTTGTGTCAGGGGAGGTTTCGTTTTGAATATTAGAAAAAGATTCTTGCCCCAGAGGGTGTTTGGGCATTGGAACAGGTTCCCCAGGGAAGTGGTCACAGCACCAGCCTGACAGAGCTCAAGATGTGTTTGGACAGTTCTGTCAGGTACATGGTGTGACTTTTGGTGGTGTCCTGTGCAGGGCCAGGGGCTGGTCTCAATGATCCTTGTGGGTCCAGCCCAGCTCAGGTTATTCTGTGGTTCTGTAATTAGGGGAACCTCCAAAACCCTTTGTGCTCTGAATCATGCATAGGTTAGATTCCAAGGCAGATGGGAAATACACTTTTTCATACCATTTTTCTAAGATAACTTTGCAGGTGAAAGTTTGAATGTTGGAACAGTTATTACCCATTGTGAAGTGTTGTTTTCTGCATGAAGCAGAAAGGACAGACTGATTCTTCTACCAATTGAGGCTGAATTAGGAGAATATATCAGCCACATCCTAGGGATACATGAGGAGAGTAAATGAAATGATGCAAATGTGATAAGCCATGGTGAAGTCCATGTGTCTTAGTACTGGAGAACTTAACATAATGACCATCTACATCCATTTTTATGTATAATGTAAGGTAGAAGTCTTCCTGAATGTCAGTATGATCTCTGCCATCTGATACTGACTTATTTCTGCCTGCTCATAAGACCCAAAAAAGTTGAACAGGCAAGATCCTTAATAATCTGATGTTTACAGATCACAAGTCTTCTCTGTAACCACAGTTTTCCCCCCAGGATTTGTAACTGGAAACTCTAGGTCCTTGCTTCAAACAAATAGCGTTATTTTACTCTGCATTAGACAGTGCTTCAGACATGAAAGCCTCCAAGGGCAAGGATTGCCTTCTCAGGGCTTGCTCTTAGTCTGCTGTTAGTGTTCCCTGCAGGGAGTAGCTGACTGGTATTGTTTAGACCTGCTGCAAAGCTTACAAAAATACACTAAAGCACAGCTTCAGTGCTCTGTAGCTGCCTAGGTGTGCCAGTCTGTGGAACCATTGTGCAGAGACCTTCTCAGGAGAATGCGAGGGAGGAGTCTGCTCCAGCCTGATTTCTGTTTGGAAGTAAGCAAGATAACTGCTTATTACATAGGAGGCCATCCAAGTACTCTTCTGTTCAATGACAAGCAGATACTATATTGAGTGTCAGTTACTAGTGGTAGACATATAATAATTTCTGTTTTTTTTAAATGTTTCTGAACCCTAGCACAGTGACTGGAGATCTCTGGTTACTGGTAATGACTGGAAAACTGTAGTGTCTGGTGAATGCCAAATACTATAAAAGTGCTATAGTTTTGCATTTTATCTTCAGTGTTTGAATCATTCTTAAGTAAAACAAGGAAAGTGGTTGATAAAAATTAGGAAAAAAAGTAGCAGGGAACAAGCTGCCCATAGTATACTTGAGGGATAGAACGCAAGGAGCTAGTGTGGTCTTTGGATGTACAAAACATGGTAAGCTGTCAGAGAGAAGAAATTTCTTCCAAGTTTTGCAGGTATATTTTGTATATCAGTAATGGTATTAGTTTGCTCAGAGTATGAGCCACATACGCAGTTAAATCGAAATTTTCTCTTGCTATTAGCCAAGAGTAAAAGTTGAAAGAGTGTCTGCACATAATTGCAAGCATTAGTTCTTTGCTACTATGGAGTAGCTTTAAAACAGACTTTGTATGAAAAATCAAAGCACATACAGTAATTCTCTTCAAGTGAGGTCAGTCAGTTACCTCTCTTCCAGATATTGTAAAACTTCAAAAGGGCAGGAGGGAAAAGTCATAGCAGTTCAGAGAACTGTGACCATATCTGTAGTTCCTGGCAGCAGGAGGCTGACTGGGTACTAGAGGCCCAAATGAAGCTTGTTACATTCAATATACAACAAAAAAATGAAGGTTCAGTATTTTTTTTCTTTTTATTTCATTTTAGATGTAAAGTGGTTGTGGCCTTCACACAGGAGCAGAATAAGACCATAGTAAAATAATTTAGGTGTTAAGGCCAAGCTTTATGCCATGTGATCACTTGAATGATGTTGCCAAGCCCCAGGTTCATGTAGGAGACTTCTTTGGAAAGCTTCAGAAGACCAAACTACACCTTTCCCTTGGAAACATTCACAAAGAGGATACCTGCTGAGGTTTACTGTGCAGAGTAAGGAGATACATCTTGTTAGCAGCTTTCATCAGAAGGGCTGCATTGGACTCCCTGCCTTTTAAACCTCGAGGGGCCCCATTGTAAGCGCTCTTTAGCAAACCCTCTTCTCCAAGGTGTCTCTCCACAGAGTGCCAAGTGACAGGAGCAATAAGTGAAATCCCTTTATTTCATAGGAGATTATTGGTATTGATCTCAGCAAAGGACAGAGTTTATTTTTCCAGTTATTTTCTTTGCTTAAATTGGAGAAGGTTTTCCTAAGAGCTATTCAGAGTTTTTAAATGAGAATGAATGTATTTCTTGTCTTTTCCAAAACCTGCAGTGATGTTGATCTGTATTTTGGATTGCTCTAGGAGGATGACTGGAAATGCAGGGAAACAAAGAGAACCTAATGCAGTGTACCTAATGCTAAATAAACTTATAGCTTAATTACATTTGTATGTTACATAGTCACCTTTCCTGGGTATCCTTGCTATCATGCAGCATAATTTTCATTTTCTGGGAAAAAGTATTTATACTGCATTCATACATGTATGCTCTTTTTAAGCAGCCTTTTTTGTCTGTATTGACAGGTCTCACCAACCCATAATCGTCCTGCAGGGAGTGGAGAGCAGAAACAGTCCCACACAGGTCTTTCATCACCGCCTAGAGTAGCATTTGGCTTGAGGTATGGGACCAATAGCTCATGCTGACACTACAGCCTCACAACCTGGAGGGCATTCAGTAAATAAGTTGCCAGTGGCCAGAGAAACAGAAAAAGCCCACCACCAATCCTGATTGCACATATGAGGCAGGTTCTTGCTAGAGCTCTTCAAAATAAACATTCAGAACCTATCTTTCTTTTCACTGCCATCAAAGGTAAAGTTCAGCTACACTTTCTGACTTTACACTTTTCCCTGAAAGGCTGGACTGTCTTACATGTTTATCACCGTTCAGTCAGAATGGTATTTGGCTTCAACTGAGCCATAAGAAACCCTGTCTTACAGTAAATTAGATCAAGGCAAAGCTTTTTATGCATTGTCTTCCTAGACATAAACTGCATTCATTACTGTTAAACCTAACTGATATTTGACAATAATCTACTTTTAAAGTGTTCAAAAAGGTTAAAAAATCAGACTATAATGCTGAATTTCTTACAGTAAAGAAACTCCTTATTTCTCATAGTCCTAGAAGTGACTGTACCCTAAAACGAAACAAAAAGGAAGATATCATGCCTTTCATTTTCTTCATGACTCTCAGATCATTGCACATGCTACAAACCAAACTTGGGATCTTCCTAGTTTATGGATTGTGCCCATTAATTAATGTTCAGTAATCAGAAAATGCAAGAGAGAGATCCCAGGTGGCCCATGCAACATGTAAAATAGGTATTAAACAGTTCTGTTGGTACAATTACTTTATTTAAAGATGCCAGGGCTGATGGCATTGCAGTAATGAATGTTGGATTGCTTGGTGAAGCATTTCTCCTCAGGTTTGCTGTCTTGCTGTGTGTTCAATAAAAAAAAAAAAACAAAAACCAAACATTTTAACAGTTACTTGGATCATTTGCTAAACTTGTGGTCTTTTGAGTGTGGTTGAAAGATGGAAAACAGGACAATTGTTACAGCTTTAAAAGCGGGTGCTTCCCACCTTGCTGGCTTTGGGGGCCACAGAGAAGGTGCACACAAGAATGTGCTGCAAGTGAGAGCAAGGGGTAAAACTTCCCACTCACTTTGTTGTTTTTCAGTCAATGAACTAAAAGCAAACTGCAGATTAGGAGCTGGTAGCTTTTCTCTGCTTTGGCATAGCTGATACCTGCTGGTGGTCAAGGTCTGCTGCTCTGAGCTATTCCAAATATTTTTACCACAGCTCTGCAGCACTTTAGCCTGACATGGCCTAGCCTGTATTGTGGAACAGCTATGACTGCCCATTACAGCTTGGCACTTCATGTGGCCAATATATAATTTACTAATTTACTAAGTCCAGGTTTAGTTGCTGGCTAAAGTCGGGGCTGCATGCTCCTGGCATCATCCCAGGAGCAGAAGAGCAGGCTCAGCAGCTGCTGCAGAAGCTGTGGAAGCCAGGCAAGGAGAAGGCCTGGTCCCTGAGAGTGATGGAGTCATGGCCATACATGTGTCTGTCGCTTCATCAGCTCCCAGCTGGGATGAAAACAGCCCAAATCCTGTGAAAGGCCATGGGTTCTCTGCCTCCTGCACACAACTGGGTTTGTTGTCCTGGTCTTAGGGTGAAAAGCAAAATTACTAAAGCATCTCATTAACAACCTTCCCTTTCTCTCTGACAGGAAGCCTAGAGGGGAGGGGAAAAAGTGTCGGAAGGTCTATGGGATGGAGAACAGAGATATGTGGTGCACTGCCTGCCGATGGAAGAAGGCCTGCCAAAGGTTCATCGACTAACGATTGAAATTATGCAGAGGATTTGGGGAGGGGGAGGACAACAGCAGAAGCAGATTGCTGCAGATGCACTGTATCACTTCCCATTTTCCCCTCCAGTGATGTGGTGTTGGGGGTTTTGGTTTTTTGGGGTGTTTTTTGTTTTGTTTTGTTTTGGTTTTTTTTGAAGAGCTTTGTATTTCAAAATGAAGCACTTGTAGCCAAGGAGAAGCACTAATTAAAACCTGTGTGGAGCAATAGAGCAAAAAAAAAAAAAAAAAAAAAGCAAAACCAAGACCACACAACAAAATCTGTCTCAGTAAGTGTGGAAACCAGAGCAGCTATTAGTGTTCTTCTGTAAAAGAAAGGAAAAAGTTCATTATTTTGCTAACTCTGTGAGCTGCTTGCTCCCTAGGATCATTTTTAACCATTTCAGTCTTTCTGCTGTGAAAATCTGTATTTGCTAAACTGAACAATTTTTCTTTTCCTGAAGATCTCTTTTTGAAAGCTTTCTAATAAACACTTCAGAGTCATATAAGCTACAGTTTTCTCAACAAAAGCTGTACTAAGACTGGAGACTGCTAAATAATTCTCCTGATACAAATAATCATGATTATATTTTTGAAAAGGGCATGTGGGGAAGAGTTGGGATTTTCATTTATTTGTTTATAGGAGAAAAGCAAAGCTGATTTTGCAAGAAGGACAAGCAGCACTCTTGGAAGATTTTTAAAAGAGGCACAGACCAGTGGAGTGGAACAAAGTAATTTAAGTACCAAATTGGATTTTGATCCTCTAGAGGAAGAAAAGCAGCAATGGCAAGTCACCAGCAGATACTGTCACGAGAAGGCTGAGGGAAGAAATACAGTGATGCTTGATTGAAACTCACAAGAATATAAGGGGGCTCCAGTAGCTTTTCTTATTACTCTCCCCTTTCTGAGGGGGGATGAACAGTTGGACCAGCACAGCTGTTGCTGCAGGAGGCCTGTAAAGAACTGGTAAATGCAGCCACTAGGATTACATGTAATACCTAATTCAGGGACACGATCCAGCCCAGCAGTTCTGCTTTTGGTTCCTTTTCTCTTATTTCAGAGATTGTTGTTAAGATAATGGTTCATTCAGCTTTTTCTTTTAAAGCTACTAAGATTTATTTGATGCAAAAAATTGGTAGAGAAAATACCCTCTTTCCCCAACATCATCTCAGAAAAAGAAGTACAACAGCAAAGGAGCAACATATTTGTGGTAAAAGACCATTTCTTAACTCATTTTGATACATGAATTAACAAATTTCTCTATTTGCAGTACTTGGATTGATTTGCGTATTTCAGTTTCTCTGTCCATTAGGAAGTATACACTGGAATGCGGCAACCTGGTGTTCTGTGTCCACTTGTATCAAATTACTGTTAATTAATGATTATTTTGATGCAAAAATAAAGGAAGGATTTACTAGGAAGTGAATGTAAATGGCGGAATAATACTTGCCTGATAAAGAAAACAAGACACCTAAAAAAATCAAAGGCTGAAGCAAAACTTTGCCTATTGATAGAGGCATGAGGGGCCACAAATGCCTGGGTTATTTTTTTTCATAACATTTGAACCAACTGAAATTAGACCAAATCTTCTTCTACTTTTTTTTTTTTTTTAAATAAATTATGTAAGCTGGCTCATTCTTATAAGAGGACTTTTAAGTATATAAACAACTTCCTAAAATCTGGTCCAAAGTTCACTTGATAGCTTTATTAAGTGTGTAGCGCTGCTTGTGTCTATGTAAAAGCACAAAATAACAATGCAGTTGTTTGCAATATACACTGTGGATTCCATAGGGTAGCAGTGAAAAGAATTCATAATAGGACTTACTAAAGGTTATCATCTGATTTTCTGTGAACAAGTTAATTGGGCAATCAGGTGCCTAATTTGAGCATGCTATTTCTGCAGTTATTTACAAATTGTGTAATTTACATGCACAAGTGGCAAGATACGCTTGCATGCATGCAATTACTTGATTTTTTGCCCAATTGTGTTCTTCACAAGTCACAAAGCAAAAAGAAAAACAGACTCTGAAATCCAGTAAGACCCTGAGATATATACACATATGAGTGTTTATGAGTATTTTTGTGTGTGTGTGTGTGTGTGTATACATGCAAAACTATATATATTATATAGTTTTAGATGTGTATATAAAATCTGAAATTAACAGGGAAGAGAAAGATTGTTTTCTTTACAAATAGGAAAAAAAAGACACTAAGGGTCAGTGGATATACACAGGCACTGTATAATCTTTCCTCTTAGTAAAATATGGATTTTCTTTACATGTTGTATTTTTTCAATTTCCACAGTAAAATACCTCATAGTAATTCATAGACATTTCATCTTCAAACACTGGGCTTGCTGATGGTGTACTTACTTAGATAGAGCTTAAAAAATTTGGGACCTTCCCAAGATATTCCTGCCAATTTGTTTCCCGCCTCCCATTTTAGTAGCACTGCAAGACTATAAAGCATTCCATAATTCGACTGTTGTTGGACTAAAAGTATTTGCCTATATATTTGTTGCTCACCTCCTTTTTGCTTTGGAGGATTTTTTTGAAAATAATGTATCAGATTGTATATTGTTTCTATAATATCATGGCATTGTGAGCACCTTTCCCGAGGGCACTTTACGAATTATTGTAATAGGATTATTCTTTATAAACTTCTGCACAGAAGAATGGTTTTGTTGCCAGACCAGGTTGCCCTCTGGTACAAATTGGATATGGATTACATAAAGGACTAAAGCCACAAACCATCAAAACTGGAGAGAAAATTGGTGTTAATGAGGCAGAGAACAGAAGGTATTGATAAGTCCTACCAGGACAAAGCCAAATTACCAGTATTTTTATACAACCTTTAATCAGCGGTTTATATTAAATCAGTTTTGGATCTTACGGCTGTGGCATTTTGATTCATAAGTAGGCACTTGCTGAGGTACCATGTCTAAAACAAGGCTGGCAATAGCACAACAGCCTGGCCCCTGGCCACACACAGAGCATTCTGCAGTCTTCGTGCTTTGAACTCAAGTTAACTCATGTTGCACGAGCAGTTCAGCACCTGCCAAGTTCCCCTTCGTGATCCTCACACAGCCAGCAAGAACAGGAATGTCAGCTAAGCCTTCCTTCTGCTGACAGTACTGATCATAATAATCTGGAGTAATCGCTTCCATTTTTCAGTCTCTTGCTTCTGTGTTGCCTTGGGCTGCGTCTCTGTCCTCCTAACACCTGATTTATCTCACACTCCTGCACTGACCAGTCCAAAACAGTCAGATTTCTTTGTTCTCCCAAGGAAGAGCTAGCCTGAGTGCTGTGGTCATTTATTGGCATTGCTACATGCCAGTTCCAGTTTCTTGGTTTCTCTGTGGGAGTTAAATCATTGTTTCTGATCCCCCCAGAGAAGTCGGAAAGAATGTCTTGAACACATCATGCAGTGTCTATGTGCTACAGGGATTTGGACGTAGGTTCATCTATGTCAAGAGCCAGAACTTGATATAAAAATGTAAGAATCTGTTTTATTGTTAATAATATTGACATTGGTAACAAAAATTGCCAGCATCAGTATCAGAGTGGAGACCAACTATACTGATCCCAAATATGTTTCTTCAGGAGTTTCCCTGTTAGAACAAAGCTATTTCCCTAATTCTCCATTCACCCAATCCCCCAAAAGATCTGGAAAACAAGATAACTTTAGAAGTGGGAAATTTTAATGGCAGTTTTTAATATTGACTGTGCTCCAACTGCTCCTCTGTGATGCTATAGAACATTAAAACTCAGATCATCGTAGTCATAAAAAGGTTTCCACATGAAACAATGTGCCTGATTCTCTAGTGCCTTGCACAAAAGCAACAGGATATACAAGATGCAAAGTGAGTAAAACTTCTGTTACAATTTGCAAGTTTACACTTTTAACCAATACCAGTCATCACCTAGCATGTACCTGTTGGCAGGTGCCTGCTTGTGTGAATAAGCTGAGCAGAATGCCTGTCTGTTGGATTACTTTTCCCAAATCCTTAGCCTGGTATGAACATTAGCTATCTAATTATCTACAATTTCCTTGCAGTTACTGGCTATTGCCAGCATCACCATCTTTATTCCTTCTCTATTTAGTTTTTCACAATAATGACTAGATAGGCAGCACAACAGGAGGTAGAGCTTTAGCCCAAAGCTCTTGTAGAACCTGCACGATAGATTCCAGCACCATGCAATGTCCCAGATGTTCTTGGCACTAATTTCATTTTGTCATTCATTCTGATCCAGTACATTGGGATGGTTTTCTATTGCTTGCTGTGGCCTGGGACCAGCTGAAATGGCCCCGTTGAGAATCCAGGACAATCACTGTAAGTGTTGGACTTCAAAGTGATTTTCTTTCTTCTGCTGCCTGTAAATGTGTTGGAACATGATCTTGGAAGCAGGACATGGAATTAGAGGCTTACTAGTCATTTTCAGAGATGTTGGAGGTTGCCAGTGAGGCTTCCTTCTGTTGGTTCAAAGTTAGAGGCATCTGCTGGAGAAAGTTTGCTGCACCTTTTCTTAGAAATACTTTGATACAGAAAGTATCATTTACATTTGTAAAGCCTCATCTTGATCTTATATTTATATTCTATTTGATTTTCATGTAAGGTGGTAGCACTCAAACTGAGAGCAGTATGGAGTTTGGACTTTAATTTGCATTTGTGTGGCTTTTCTAGTAGATAACCAGGCAGGTGTAAGGTATCATAGTGTGGATTTTATTCTAAGTACAGCGGAGTTTTATGGCACCTTTGGAAAATACCTAGAAGGAAGTCATGGGCAGAAATCAAGCTGAGCATTTAAATACACTCTCTTTCTGCTAGATGGGAGCAGCCTTTCTTTGCATCCAAATGGAACTGAAAAATCTTCAAGATTGCAAAACAGCTGATGTACACCTGCAGTTGAGAGTGCCCACTCAAACTGCTGTTTCCATCTTGGACTACAGTGCTCTCAGTTCTATCCAAATGCGGGATTTAAGGAGGTGTGTGTCTCCACTTGCAACTTTTTGATCTTATTCCTCAATACGGAAAGCACTCATCATGTCCTTTGAGCTTCAGACCGTTTGTAACAGCAGTGCAGAAAGACCCTGGGAACAGAAGTCAGCCTGTTTCTGATGGCACCAGCCAGAAGAAAGTACAGGTTGCTCTGGTGTTCGCTCACACACACAGCAAGAATTTGTTCAGCTGATGAAATAGAAGAGAATAGATAAATTTAGTAACAAGCTGGTGTTCTGCTGGCTTTTGACACATCC